TGGTAACAGTAGTAGTAGCAGTAGTAGTAGCAGTAGTAGTAGCAGTAGTAGTAGTAGTAGCAGTAGTAGTAGTAGTAGTAGTGGTAAGTAGTAGGAGGAGGAGTGGTGGTGGTAGCAGTGGTAGCAGCGGTGGAAGAAAAAGAAGTTACTTTTGGGAAGGTAGAAGTTGTAATTCCATATTCCCTATGAATTTTTGGTTTAATTCGAACTACGACCTGAAAGACTATTTCCAACACTTTAGGATAGAAGCGTAGGCCTGTACCATGGACACTCAAGTCAGGGGTATCCCGAACCATAATATACGCGTCTATCTATACATAAACCTCTTACAAGCAAGGGCGCCGTTGCAACACACAACTACGCACTCAAAGTTCCAAAAGCCTAGATAGCTATACTCCAAACTCCTAGTATCCCCCGTAATAACCCCTATATTACTCCCGGTAAAAAAAAAAAAAAAAAACTATATACACCCCTTTAAGGAGCTTTGACTATGGCTCACATCATGAGCCCAGGGTTCTGTTTGGTCTCAAGAATGGCTATGAGGCTTGTGGTTTTGGGTTTCAGGTTGTGGGTGTCAGCATCTTTTGCAATCATCAGCGTTTACAGTTCAGGGTTGGATGCAATGCAGGGGGTACACAAGGATGCGCGCACGCATTGCCATACGGAGATTCCATGGACGTTGCTCCAATCCAGGAACGTTTTACAACTTATGTCAGATTTACGTGCCTGACGTAACTTCCTGGAATCTGTTTCAACTGCCACAAAAACTTGCACAGGCCTCCACACAAACAGGTTGAGCTCCGCTGCGCACAGTCAGAGCCCCTCACAAATGAACTCATTACTACGCTGCATCTTGATAAAGACGCCCTATTGCCCTTTTCTACCCAAGGACTTTAAAAGAACGAGTGGAATGGATGCTGCTAAGTCCGTTTTGTGCAGGCTTCATGGCTGTGCAAAGCCTGTGCCACAACAAGCCTAAGGATTGCGGGGCTGCAGGAAGGGTTGTCTCTCAAAGTTGGAGCCCAAGCTGCATTCTTAGAAGCAGCCTTAGCTACAGTTCAATCGGTTTGAGCCGTACACAACATATGAACTATGGTCTAAACTCCTAGTATCCCATTCAATAAGCCCTAAAGTAGTCCCCTATATAATCCCCTATATATCCTCCTTTAAGGAGTTTTGACTCTAGCCCATATGAACTGCATGACAAAAGGACACCGCCCCCTGACCAGGATACTGCAGACCCAGAGTCTGGACTAAAACAATAGTAATCCATAGTCATAATAGTAACTACAACAGTAATAATCGCAATAATAATAGTAACAATACGAATAACAACAATAACAAGAATAATAACAATAATGGTAATACGAATCATAACAATAGCAATAAAACACTAACAATAACAATAACAACAACAATAGCAACAACAACAACAACAACAACAACAACAGCAACAGCAACAGCAACAGCAACAGCAACAGCAACAGCAACAGCAACAGCAACAGCAATAACAACATTAATTAGTAAGAAGGACTATCCTTGAAGCTGGTTCCCTTGACCTGGACGCTGGGGCTGCGCACGAGCTCCGGGGCTCAGCGGGCTGCTCTGCGGCAATAAAGAGCTAGCGCTCTTCCTTGAGGATTAAGAATTAAGGAGGGGTTTAGGGTTCAGGGCTTAGGGTCTAGGGCTGAGGGTTTAGGGTTTAGGGTTTAGGGTCTAAGGTTCAGAATTTATTGGGGGAAGCTTTGTAGGATTTAGGGGCTTCTCCTCAAGTTCTCATCGTGAGCGGTCTTTTATGGCAAAACTTGGAGAGAAACACTCCTTGGTAGGAAGCACACTAGGCAATCCTCGGTGGGTTCCGCCAGGTTCCGCTAAAAGTTGCTCATATGTGATAGACTCGAAATTCTAAATGGTTCCGCATTTTGGACCCCCCAAAACGCACTGTCGATTGTAGCCGCGACTATGGCCGCAAAGGCTCCCCGCGTGCTTTCTCAGTGACTGGATGAATCCCCATAGAAGATGACGGTGCAAGAACGACGACCGCGCTTTTGACTCCTCTCAAGAAGCTGCGGTGTTGACACCTCTCAATAATATCATCGGGGGCGCATGAGAGAGGTCAAAGCTTAAAACACAGAACTTGCAGACACACCCTCTCTTCGTGCACATTCGGGGCCCCAGCAAAGTCCACTCAACCCGCCTTGCCAGGACCTGGAGTCACACGCGCTCAGAGCCCAGATGGGGATGAAGGATTTCAGGGTGTAGGTCTCGGAGAGAAGAGTTTGGACACAATCGTGTAGAGTCTACGGCTTTGGGGACAGGGTTTAGGGCAGTTTAGGGTCCAGGGCTTCGGATTTAAAAGGATAAGCTGCTGTGACTGCGGCGCTTCAAACGGGACAATCAGAAAGAAGCTGGGACCAGCGTGATGCCGTAGCTTCATGTAGCTTCCAGAATTAATTGTATCCATTCTCCACAGAGCAGCTTGAACGAAGCAATCGAAAGCAGAGCTGAGGGCGAACACCTGACTTAAAGCATCTCGGCCACTCAAAGAAAAAACGACAAGGCATCCAAACGCGGGTCCCCTTATGAGCGTTGCATTTTCATTATCCTCCCCTCAACTACCATGGAAGCCCCACAAGGGTGCAAAAGGACTAACAGGGGGCTTTAGCTCTCCTCCACACATGTCTTTGCCATCACGCTGAAAACAACCTCCTATGAGAAGACCTCCACTTGCAATTGCCTGGTCTAACATTTCCAGGAAGTCCTGGTGCTGATCAGCACCTGACAAAGCAGGGGGGGGCCTCAGGTTCTTCTAATTCAAAGCTTGTTGTATTCGGGGTGGGTTGCGCAGTGGAGGGGGGGGGGGACGATCCTTGGGAGGCTAGCCGTGGCAAAGCGCGCGCCTTCGGGAAAGGATGGCGCTCTCAACAAGTCTTCCGAAACTTCGGAACGTTACCGAAGCTAGCGCTCATCCTTGAATGTTGAAGGCAAGTATTCTGGGTTCAGGACCAAAAAATCTTTGGAATAGCATGCAACTCAAAGCAATGTGTCTGCAGACGACGTCGAAGCTGAAGCTGCAACGAATCTTGCCTTTCACCGCTTCAACTCTCGCATTATTTTCACGTGTACTGTTTTTCGTCTTCTTGAGACCAATCTTCTTTGCAGTCAGTGTGCTGCTATGACCCTGCTTCTAGCCGCATCTGATCTTAAGAAGTCCGCCGGCTGCTAGCTTCTTGGGACCTGGCGCTCGTCCATCTGTGCCAACCTGATCAAAGTATGATCAAAGTATCATGGTCCCGCTTCGGGTCCCCGGGATAATGAAGGCCCTAAGATTCAGGATTAGGGGACTTGAAAGCAGCCCCTCGGCGTTTAAAAGCTGGCACCTGGAAGTGGGCACCATTGCAGAAGCAATGAGTCACATGCATCAGTGAGGAAAGCCATGGGAGGATAACGTTGCAGCAACATCTGCCACAACTCTGGCAACAGTTAAGTCCGGTACAACTACAACGGCCATTCTAGATTATGGAGGGCAAGTGCTGCTTCGCATTTTGGGCACGACTAACCCCCATCACTGTTCTCGTTGTGATGATATGCATACCTGCCGCTGATTTTCTACATGTAAAATCCTGCAGACTACCGCCTGCCTTCAAACGTAAACGCTACAAACAATACATGGGATAGCATTGAGACCAGTTGTAGTCAATTCAGGAACACAAGAAGGCCCACACAAAATTGTGATATACAAGGAACCCTATGTCCACCTCCATCTAAAAGTTGTGGGATATTTACACAATCAAAAGTAGATCATGTTCTTTCGGAGCAGATGCCTGTTCCACGACTCTGCCTTGAAATCCGTCAGGGCTTGTGACACCTGCGCTCGCGCAATCTGATCCAATCCTTTTCGGGCCTTCCTCAACAGAGCTGATGTGGTAGATTTCCCTAAATGGGGGTCCCCAATGTAGACCCAGTATACTGTAATCCTTATTATGGGGACCCCCAATATGGTACCCCTAATTTTGGGAATCCCCCATGTTTGTTGATCCTTGTCTACCATAAGAATGCATCCTTCTAGTCTGGCAGAGGAAACCGCAGGTGGGAGCCGGGCGGGTATGAGGGACAGTTCGTCCTGCCGCAATGTGACCTCTCTCTTTGGGAGGGGACATGGTAACAGTTATAACAAGTCCTCCAGTATTGTAGTCCCCCTTTAGTTGATAGAATTTGGGGTATATGAGGATCTTATTACAATATACCCAAAGCCATATTCTATCTACTAAAGGGGGACTATAGGTGGAACTTTGAGGGCTCATCACTTTTGCAGCGAAGCCTCGTCCTTGGATGCTTGCGTGTCACCTTAGCGCAGTCTAGGGTAAACTTACATGATACTTTCCCCAAAAATAGGGGGACCCCAATGCAGATTCTAATTCTTATTCTGGGGACCTCCAAGAAGGGAATCTTGGGAAACCCCCACATGTGTCTGAGGGTACCCTTTCCCGGAAAACAGCATAGAAGCCACTTGACATGCAGAGTATCCTGTCTAGGGGTCCTCTCAGGTTGCATGTTTCGTTGGGCGAGCGCAGAAAAAAAAAAAACAAGTTTGGCCTGCTTCACCGAAGTGTTTCATTACAGGTGATTTTAAAGGCAAAGCCATGCTGTTTAGGTGCACCTGCATGGATTTGGGAGACAAACACTTTCCTGGTAGCTTCCCCTAGAGCTACCTGAGGATGAGCCGTACGGCGTAGCCAAGTGGAGGCAGGTTCTACTCATGCAAGGCAACGGAAACATGTCCTCACCATGACCTCAACACAGATATAATCTGTCCAGTAGATCCCACACCCTCCACTATCGCCTAAAACTAAACACTAGATGCCCACACATAGCTCGAAATAAGATGTAGACAAAGATCCTTACACCCCTCATATGGACCCTTATAATGCCCCTACAATCCCTATGTACCCTTAGGTTTGCCCTGTGAACCCCCCCCCCCACCCTACCAGGGAATGAACTGGCCGCCGTGTTCCGGCACTCAGTGAGGAGATCATCCAAGCCTCAGTGGGCCAATAGGCCGAATGTACCCCTAACACAGCTCGCTTCTACAAGGCTAGAAAAAAGAGTATGTAGGGGATACGAATAAAAGGGGAGAAAAGATAAGGAAGAGGTTCACGGAATCACCTATTGCATGGGGTTCCAGATCCTCACGCTCTTACGTACCAAAGCAAAGGGACTGAGATCCTGGGAAATAGGTCTATACTTCCTCAGTTGAAGGTTTAAGTGGTAGGGGTTTAGAGGGTCTGCATTGCAACAGAGATCGGGGTTTGGAACAACAAGGGCTGTAAGATCCAGCCAACAAAAGGTCCCCCAACAAAAGGTCCCCCAAATGTAACTGGCGCAAAAGCAACGTTGCTTTGGTTTTGGAGTAAGCTTTTTGATGCAAAGGATTGAGGACTTCAGGGGAATAGATTTTGTTCCTTGCTGGCGGGTTCGTTCGTTGGAGGCTAGAGAGAACTAACAATGTCAGGGCTATGATTACCATAGGAGATAATGCTGGTAATTGTTCAGACTTCTACACTACAGCGGCACCAGGAGTCCCACGGGCTATCTCGGCGTCCAGCTCCGTTCGGTCCTGGTTCGTCACCCGCGCCCAACCCATCTCTGCGAAGTCTCGACGAGTGGTTTGGGATTTCGGGGTTAGGATCTAGGGTTTAGGGTTCGTCCTGGCTTGTGATAACAATATGTCAAACGAATTTGCCCATTGGAAGTTTGGGTGCTACATGTGCCAGGTTTAGGGTTTAGGGTTTAGGGTTTAGAGCTTTGAGAACGGAGACGTGCCCCTGATTTGTATGCAGAAGCCAGGTTTGTTTCTAGCGAGCAACGACCAAATATATTTCAACCGCCTGAACCTTTATAACCCCTATATAACCCCTATATAACTCCTATATAACCCCTATATAGCCCCTAGATAAGCCCAAGAATACTCTCTCTAGGGTGGAACAACCCCCCATGTCCTTCTTCGCCGTCAGTTTGATCTCTTGGTCAACCTTCGGGTCTAAGCTTAAGGGGTTCTCAGGGATAGTGAGGGCTTAAGGTTGAAGATTTGCAGAATTCGGGCTTTGCCCCCTGCCTGCAACTCTAGATTAAGGAGAACCCCATATGTGGCATTGAAGCATGATTGTCTGGCATTGAAGAGTTTTGTAGAGTGTAGATATATTCCGCGTGGTTTAGAATTGCACGGGTCATGGTCATGATGCTTTTCTGGTGCATTTTTGTCATAAGGCAGCTGTGCTGGTCATTTTCTTCTCTTTTTTTTTCCAGGCTGGTCAGGCAAGCTCTGGGAGGCTCCACACTGACCCAATATAGTAGGAGTATAATAAACTCTAAGGACCATGGGTAGGTATATTCCCATCATATTCCCACTATATTCTTTGAAATTCCCTGTTTGGTTTTTTCCAAAACACCGAGGTGGCTGCCCAGGATGCTGCTTGAAATCCCCTGCGGGCTGCCAACCCCCAGGTACATTGGGACCACTTGGGCATTTCGATGCCCTGCGGGCTGAGCCGCTTGGAGCTTGCAACGCTGTGTGAACTTTGCGGCTTAATGTGACTCTATATTTATATATGATGTTCACTAATGTCACTGTTGTCATTACTGTGCCACGCAGATTTTCCGATGATTAATCCGAGAAATCTCATTCTAAATTATAAGCATTGCAGAACAGATACCCCTAGGTCTCATAGGCTGAAGCGCCCCCCCCACTCCACATGAGCAACAGTGAACAGTTCCTCCTGTAGTTCATGGGCATGGGTCTCTATTCGGGAAATTAGTCTGCTGTACCAAACTACCAAAAGGAAACCGAGACCTATGTCCAACCTTTATGGTACCTGATATTGATGGTAACTCACATAAACCACTGCAAGCACAAGTTTTGCATGCAATTTTCCATTTTCCTTTTCATTTTCTTCTCCATTATCAGGGTGATATCCCAAAACCCTATATAATCCCCTTCCCCCTTTATAACCCTAAACCCTAAGCCTTAAACCCTACACACACCTATAAAACCCTAAGCCCTAAACCCTATACACCCGTATAGAACCCCATACCCTCAGCCCTAAACCCTATACACCTCTGTATAACCCTGTACTCCAAGCACTAAACCCTATACACCCCTGTATAATCCTATACCCCAAGCCCTATACACCCCCTATATAACCCTCTACCCAAAACCCTGAACCCTATACACCCCTGTATATCCCCTTAGGGCCTTGTGCTCGTTGTCCATGGCCGCTTCCAAGTTCCGGCTGAGCATTTGGCAGATCTCGGCATCTTTGTTCGCTGCCTGTGGAAGACGAGATGCTCGGGCTTGGGGTTTAGGGTCCTATAGGGGATATAGGGAATAGGCTTCAGGGACCTATAGGGGATAGGGAATAGGGTTTAGGATTTTAGGGAATAGGGTTCACGGTTTTAGGGAACATAAGTTTAAGGTTTTAGGGAATGTGATTTTGGGTAGAGTTTACCACTATTATAATGACACTGGCTACAGACAACAGCTGGCAGCTGCTAGGAGGAGTGGTATTAGGCGCCCTCGGATGGATTGGACTAGCATTTAACCTCTTTACCATACGAATCTCTACCAGAATATTCAAACGGTTTACGGTTTAGGATAATGCTTGGGTTTTAAGGCCTCCTGGCCCCTCCAAGACGTAGTGGTACTATATTCGAGAAGTATCTGTGGTCGATCGTAAAGTCGTAGAAGTCGCCGGACTATTTGCAATGAAGGGGTTAACCCCTAGACCCTAAACCCTAAATAGTGGCCTCAATTTTCTTGTCCATTATTTTGGACACTATATATATATATACATATAGATGATAGATAGATAGATAGATAGATATAGTGGTCTTTCGACCCAGGCTCTTGAGAATCCTCCTGCAGCTTTTTACGCCTCCTGACGGAACTCTCCGAGGTTGGCAGTGAGCCTGGCAACTGGCAACTTGAGGCGATGGATTTTGGGCTTGGAGTCAGGCATGGTGGGTTGAGGGCTTGGGGCCTGGGAATTCGGTTTAGGATTTAGGATTGAAGGCATTGGGTTTGGGGTTGAGGCTTTGAGTTTCAGGGTTGAAGGTCCTCTCTCCTCAGACCAAGCTAAGCTTTATTGTTTTGTTCTACTACCTTCACGCCCCTCAGCCCCCAAGCTTTAGAGCTGAAAGCGAAACCCCAGACCAGGTCTTTCCTGTGTACGTATTCCTCATATTGAAGTCCCCACTACATATCCACAACAACACAGTTCTATATCTACATATTTATATCTTTAAACATGAATATTATATACACACATATATCTATACATATATATGTATACACGGATAATCAGTTCCCAACAGGTAATCAGTGCCCCGGACACCTTTACAGAATCATATGAACTTCATACTGCATCCCACATAGTAGGTTGTCAAATACATGAACGTATGTTCCGCTGTTGGGTCCTCAGTACTCTACAACCCCTATACTCCCGGAAACCCAAGTAGGGACCATACTTTGGACAACCCCCCACACACACACACACACACACACACTTGCAGGCATCCCCGTAGGGATGTAGAAGGTTTAGTTACAGCCTCTCACCTGTCTGTTGACATGCACTCCTGCCAACTGGTTTGTGTACATGTC